GTTATGAGTTTTTAAAATCGACCTATGAAAATAATAACTCAATTATATTGTGATTTCTGCTCTCCGTGAGTAATAATAATAACCTATCTTTTTACCTGTTTACTAGTACCTCTGGGGTTCCATTGGGGTTCTCCTTACGTGTGGGCCCAATATCCAAATTATCGATTAACCGACTGTCCTCATACCCTGTCTGGTTATGATTACCAAAACATATCACTGCCTTAATACCTCGTCCAGTATGAGGGTGAATTATACCTTCCAACCCCTTCTGATATGGGATTTCTCAACTCCGTCTAACTGAGGTAATGCCCACGGTAGGATTTTTCCTATGCACCGATTTCGTACACCCTTCCCTAGGGTATCCGATAAACCTTGCATACATATATTTCACATCATCAACCAATCACCAATTACAAAACAATATATCATATTTATAAATAAACAGTAAGTCATACAAATAGGCGATACATAAATCAAGAAAATATGATTATGACATTTATTGCAAACAAATCAACAGATGAGGGCAACATAGTTAGGTAAACTAAATAAGTGAGGAAGCAATTTAAAACTAGTAATTTAAAACACACAATATAACAGTAAACATTTTAGACAGTATAGGAGAAAATAAATAATAAACCAAGGCAAATATGCATTAACCGGTTTCGGCTCCACTAGTGACCTATAATTAATTTTAGGGTTTTCAAATTTTCACAAAACACAGCATTATTGATTATCAAGCTTCAATTTACCGTAACAAGAAAAATAGTGAGGGATTCTTTCATTGGATTTGTGTCTGAAATACCGTACTTTTCATTGTGCATTTTGGTGATCTCCATATTTTTTGAATTTTTTCTGCAGAAATTAAAAATACTCATCACGTATCCAAAAATACCTTAAAAGGCCAAAGTAGGCATTTTAAAATTTTTTCAGCCAATTTTAGGGTTCTGACACGACGCTAGCTTCGCCATCCACAGCAGTGGTTTCCCTCAGCCTGGTTGTTTTTAGCCAATTTAACCCGGTTTTGGCCGATTTTATTCATAAAGTTGCGAAAAACCAAGTTAGGGAGTCTCAGTTGATCGAAAAAGGCAAAAAACTGAAACTCTACCGGCGGAAGGTCTCTGGGTGCGGTGAGTCCGCTATTCCTCCCTCGCGGTCGGGGTTCTCCTTCGGTTAACCTGCACCATAAAAGAATGAGGAACAAAATAGTCAGAAAACCATGTGAAATGGGAAACGGGAAAGGGGTCATTAGAAAGGGTTTTGGATTTCGACCGCAGCGGCTTGGCCGAGCTTCACTTGTATTTTCTGCCTCACCCATCGACCTTTCGACTCCAATATGAGCATAGGAAGATTTGGGATTGGATTTCGAGTGGGAAAGGGGAAAAAAGGTACATGTTTAGCGCCGACAGTGGCTCCGGTGCAGCGGGGATGGCAGTCAGTTTCTTTTCCGGTTGCCCTTCTTCTTTTCTAGCGAGGACTGGTACGGCTAGGGTTAGGGTTTCTTAAAATATGATATTTAAATACCCTCCCCGAGTAGATATGGGTCGCCCGTGCAGGGACACGTGGCCTTCTCTCATCCATTGGATTCCTCTTATTCGGAGAATGGATCTGGGCTGCACGATTAGATTGAATTTGATTGTCCAACCACATTTGAATGGGAAACGTATTTGGGTCATCCGTGCATGCTGGATGCGATCTAGACCCTTGGATCGCCTAAGCACGCAGATCGCACACGTGGCCTTCCGTGTGGAGCTGATGTCAGCGTGTCCGCCACGCGACGTGTTCCGACTCGTCGTGACTACTGATGGGGTTGTCCCACGTGGCCACATTTTCCCTTTTTACGATTTTACTTCCTATTTTTAATTTTTTTTTTCAAAAACACCCATCTTATTCACAGTTTCTCTCATTTCCTCTAGAATTATTTTCAATTTCGTCTCTAATTTTATTTTTCTCAAAAGTTCAATAAAATTAAAATGAAATAAGATAAAATTATTTAAAGGTTTAAATTTTTATTAATTGAAAAATTATCCCGGGCCAAATTTATGGGCCCGGGTATTACATTAGAAACCTAAATCATGTTATCGACTCATTTTTCACTAATTTCATGAGAAAATCATTGGAGCACACACGAACATTGGATTAGAGCATATTTCTTCTTTTGACCATTATCACACAATTTTGGGAAGAATTTTTTATAAATTTAAAATCATTGCCACTCTATTTATTTTGTTTTTCTCCCTCCTAATGAGATCATTTTCCTTCACCTATTTTATTAGCAATCCATAAAACTTCAAGAACTAAATATGTGCTTATTGGATCTATATTAACATATAAAAAAATTAAATAGGAACTCATCAATTTACATTAACAACCTAAATAACTAACTATTTTGATTATATTTTATAAGAATTAAAATGAATAAAATAGTAATTACTTTTGTCTCGAATTAATTTACTCCTTATCATAGCTCAGCTAAGTCCAAAATTTGGATGATAAGTCTAAGGTTACTTTTTTAGTTTTGGTCTAGCCTATTAGCGCTTCTAATGGCTTTTGTAAATGATTTTTTTTTTGTATTCTTTATTATATCTAAGGTAACATTTACTCTAAAAAATTAAATTCACGATTACATTAATATGCGCATGGTCTCATGTTTCCTTTGTTTTTATTTTTATGGGATATGAGATATAGTGTGGTTTTAAACTCATGGAGGATGATGCCTTTTTCTTGAGTTTAACCTATTATGCTTAGTTGTCCTGGCCTCACTTATTACTTTTCTTACTGCCTTACACTATATCTCATATGGGATATGAGATATAGTGTGGTTTTGCTTCACTTATTACAAGTTAGTAGTAAAGAAGACAAGAATAAGATAAAAAATGGTGTGGATGAGGGCCACGATTGGAGGGAGATGGAGCACATGAAGGAGGATCCTAGTTGTTGACAAATATTTTTAGAATAATAACATTATATGTTTGATCAATATATCTTAAGACGATTATCAATTAAAGAACTTATTTAAATAAAGTGCGATTGTGCAGGGTTTATTTGAATATCTATAAAATACATGAATTTATTTCAACAAAAGTAAATAACATAATTGATATTTATTTATTCAAATATTTATTTATTTTAGGCTATTATTTGGTAATAAAATACAAAATCATATTTAATATAAATAATTTATAATTTAAATAAAAATAAATGTTGAGTGGACATTAATACTTTTTACTCTTGATTTTAAGTAAAAAATAAAAAATAAGCAACAATGTAACTTTTGGTACTACAATAATTTCTAAAAAAAATCGTGATCTAATACTTGGTATCAATATTTTAAGAAATAAAACATGTTTTATTAAAAATTAAAAATAAAATAAAAACAGAAAAAAAATAAATAATTTTTTTTTAAAAAAAAATGTTTTATTGAAAATGAAACTAAAAAGAAAACAAAAAAGGAATAGCATGATTCTGGTGAAAAAGTTTAATAAAATTAATAGGCTTAAAAATCAAAGGAGGGCCTAACCAACCATGAGATGAGAAGGAAGTTCAATTCAAGGAAGAAGGCGGTATGAAGTGGGCCCACCCCCCACGCGGTATTACGTCATCATCGACTTCGTTGTATTTTGTAATATCATAATTCGAAGTTAAAAACCTTTTCAGCAACCAGCATTTATTTCAGTTGGAATTATATATGCTTGCTTTTACTAATTTTTTTATACAAATAAAAAATATATATCTAATTAATAAAATAAAACATACACTAATTATAATAAAAAAGATCTGATTCAAACTCACGAAGTACCAATTTTTATTAAAAAATGATATTTTTTTCTCTAAAATTGAGAACTTGAATTTGAATTTTATTTTTCATCTAAAAAAGTTATTAGATAAAAATAACATTTAGTTAAAATAAAAAAATTTATATTAATTTAGTCAAATATTATTAAATTAAAAATTAAAAATAAAATTTTTTTCTAATATCAATTTAATTTTAATTTATAATTTTTAATAATAAATTTTGATTATTTAATTATATTATTGAAGAAAATAAATTTAAAACAATAATGTTACAACAAATTATTCATTAGTCGGATAATTTGTACTTTTATTTTTTATTTATAAGAATGTGAATTTAAGTTAAAGCGTGTATATGTGGATTATAAAATTAATTGTCTTATTTATTTATTAAAAATTAATTATTTTAATGTCTAAATATAAATATTTATAATTATTAAAATATTTAAAATTTTATTTAAAAAATATATTGTGTGCTAAATAATTAATTTACTGTATGATAAAGGATAAAAAAAAATTAATTAAAATAATAACAATGATTGAAGTAGTTTTTAACTCCATTAAGAGTTATTATAATATTAATGAGGATGGACAAGTAAATGGTTTTTTAAATTAATTTAGAAGTGAATAATTTATTTTAATGGACGGCTATGAAGAAGGAAAATTGGGTATATAAAGAGATGAAAGGGTTTCGGTTTGCTTTGTTTGACTGACAGAGAGACGACGTTTGAGCACACAATTTGGGACGACGAAAGACAACTCAATCAACTATCATCGTTCTCCCCTCATCATCGTATTTCTAGAATTCTTTCGTTTTGCTTTTCACCAAGAAGACGACGGACTTGTTGCAGGAGGAAGAAGAAGAACAGAGGCGGATTATATGTTGTTGGAGTTGAGGGGAGATGAGTAAGCGCCCTGCTACTTCTGGTGCTTCTGCTTCTGCTTCTGCTTCTGTTTCTGCTTCTGCTTCTTCTCGTACTTCCTTGTTAACCAAGATCAAGGTGCATAACTGCTTAATTCTTACTCACCATCATCATCATCGTCTCTTCGTCAGCTTTTTCTTATTTGTCTAAAATTTTTTATCTGCTTCAGTACTGTTATCATTATTTTGAACACAGGATGACTCCTCTAATGTCTGATCAACTATGCTTAATCGCCTCAAACTTATGTATCCACTTATGGATTATGCTCATTTCTTCGTGTTTCCTTACCTGTTTTCCTTTGCTTGTTGCTTTTTTTTTTTTTTTTCTATTTAGAGTTATGTATACAATTATAGGTTCTTTGCGTTCTAGTCGCAATTTTGTTTTCTTCCCCTATTCAAATTGTAAAATAACACTTATTGAGCTAAATTCTTTACTTGTCCATGTGTACCCCATTTGATTACTCTGGTTTAATCAAAGAGAAAAGAGAATAAGAAATAGAGAAATAGAGATAATGTTTAGAGGATTGGACTTCATGGACATGATTAATTCAAATCATTTGTAAATTAAATCATGTTAACATTTTCGTTTACTTTCTCCTCTATTATTAAAGAAAAGGTTTTTCGGTCTCCACTGTTTCAGAATGCTACCTGCCTCAATTCGTCTCCGTCGGATCCTGGCAAAGGTGGAAAAGGGAGAAGTAAGTCATCTAGTAACAAAGTTTCTCATGGATTCCACTTAGTGGAAGGTCAGTCTGGTCATGACATGGAAGACTACCATGTTGCTGAATACCGGAAGAAAAAGAATCATGTGCTTGGATTATTTGCTATTTTTGATGGTCACCTTGGGGATCGTGTTCCTAGTTATTTGAAAGAGCATCTTTTCAACAACATACTTGAAGAGGTATGAGAAATTAATATAATGTTTTGGCATCTGATATTTTCTCCTGTAAATGATTTCTTTTAATTTAATAGTTTCCAGAGAATTGTTACATTTCTTTTATCATTATCCTTATTGAACAATCTTTTACTTGTTTACAACTGGAACCTTGAAGAATATCTTGTGTCCTTGTCCATGTAGCAATAATTAGTCACGTGGTTGTCTAAACCTGTGGTAAATCCTGTTAAGTTCATGCCTAATTTTTTTCTTTTTCCCTCTACACTGTCCTTTTACCACTAATGGCCTGCATAGTCACCTGTATTTCATTCTGTTTTACCTAGCAGCCAAATTTCTGGAACGACCCTGCGACAGCAATAAGGAATGCATACCGCTCCACAGATAAGTTTATATTGGAAAACTCTATGCAATTAGGGCCTGGTGGCTCAACCGCAGTTACTGCAATTGTCATTGATGGCAAAGACTTGTGGGTGGCAAATATTGGTGATTCAAGAGCTGTAGTGTGTGAGAGGGGCAGTGCCAATCAAATTACGGTGGACCATGAACCACACACTGAACGGAAAAGGATAGAGAAGCAAGGTGGTTTTGTAACCACTCTTCCCGGTAAGTAATACGATGTCTTAGTGTTCATCTTTTCTTTTGTCATTCTTTATGTAGAGATCTCGGCAAACATGTTTAGAACCAAAAAAAAGACACTGATTAGTTTATGGTTACCATTGGTGGAATCAGCTGTGTTATTTGATTGTATGATCATAGTAAGACAATAAATGTTTGATTCTGAAAATTATCTTGCTTTCAGGAGATGTACCTAGGGTTAATGGGCAACTTGCAGTTGCACGTGCTTTTGGAGATCAAAGCCTTAAAGCTCATTTGAGTTCAGAGCCTGATATAAGACATGTACCCATAGATTCAACAATTGAGTTTGTTATACTGGCAAGCGACGGGCTGTGGAAGGTCAGTTGTTTCAGTAATTTACTTTTGGTCAATTGTTTCCATTGTTGTTGATTTTTCATGAATTCTTGATCTTCCATATATCTTCTTGTCTGATAACACATGAAAGAACTGGATTTTATAGTTGATATGTGATTCCTTCTTTAAACAGCATGGATTGGGAACAAGGATTGCCTAAATGCAGTAATAAAACTTTCCATTCCAAAAATGGTTAATTGCATTTGTCACACATGCTTACAGAATTTATTTTGTGGGTGTCCTTAGTGCTGCAGAGATATAAAGAATCCCCAAGAAACTTTGGTTTTAGCATTTTTATGTCTGAGATTTTAGCTAGCTTGTATAATGAAGCTTGAACTTGATTTTATAATCAAGCTTGGGATAGGTTCATTCTCAAGATAAAATTGACCATTAGCACAGCCTGATTTCAGGAACTTGAAGTAGAATTCCTGAGCCAAACTTGAACTAGCATATTAATGCTTCAGTTGGTAGAGCATCAGCGTGGAGTATAAAAAATTATGTAATGAGGCTGCAGGAAAATGAATATGAATTCACCTACTTAAGATGGTTGATGGGAATGAGAGTTAACAATTTGAATATCCTCTAAAGAAGTATAATGGGTTAAATGGCACTATAGGGGAATAAACATTGTGGATTTTGGACCACTTATGGTGCCTGTTTATATACATGCTTATATGCTCCTGCAAAGTCCCTAAGATCATTGGCATTTTTTTGAGATTAATGCATCTTGGATTAGATTGTTGAGAGTCTCATATCTAGGAGCACTAAAAGTTTATGATATTAGTTTTCTGTAAAAAAAATGACAATCTTTAAAATTCTTTCAAATGGAGTTTACAAGCGTCTAAACTCTTTCTTTAAAGGAAGTTCAGCCTGTAGCTTATTTTGTAGTGAAGGTGTTAGTCATGTAGCCAGGTCTTCAACAATTTTAAGGAATCAGAATGTATCCATCAGAGAGGTAATAGGCTAGCAGCTATGCGGTATACAGAATATATCCTCCATGTGACACAATCTCTGGGTATCTTCTCTATGCTTTTAAGCTGGCATGTCTTGTGCGTCAACCTTGTTCCATGATCCCTAATAGTTGAGGAGCCTTGCTCTGACCTTAGGAACAAGGCCCCAGGTCATCTTCTTCTTTGATGTTCCAGATCGAATTCAACTCTCAAGTTGATGAATCTTTAGCTGGGTGATTTGTGGTTTAGTAAAGAGTGAGCTTGTGGGCTTTGAATGATTTTGTTGTTGCCAAGTTGTAGAATCTAGAGAAATTTTTATGGTCTTATTTCTTTAGTTACCTTTTGGATCTTTTGGAAAGAGAGAAGTAAAGGAGCTTTTGGTGACTCTTCCTTACCCCATGGCTGTATTAGGATCTGTTTTTTTTTTCTTCAAGGGCTATTACATCCAATTTTGAGGGTGAATTAATTGACCTCTTAGATACTGTCTTTTGAGTATTTTGTAAATTGTATATAGGGGCAACACCCTTGGTGTCTTTGATGAATTATCTTTTCCTTCTCAAGAAAAAAATCAAAGAGCATAGTCACTAACATGCTACTTTCTAACCTTTGGAAGACTGTCCAAAACCTGAACACTGGATTCTTCCCCAAACCCTCACCATGAACAGTTAAGTGAGAGAAAGAAGAAGAATATGTGGATTATGATAGACAAATAAAAGTATGTGTTCATGAAGGCACAGAACGTTTATGAGGTTCTTTTTAAAAGCAAAAAACGTTTATGAGGTGTCTTGTAGTGTTGTGTTTATGCTAAAAGTTCATGGTGCTTCTTGTACATGTCTGAATTGCGTGCACATAGTTTGGCATCTGAGTGTCTGCATGCTGTCTGTCGTTTTTTATGTTGATTGTGTCAGTCCTTTGTGCACGATTTCATGCCAACCTGATCGTATTTTCCCGCATTTAAATTTTTAAGCTAATTTTATTTTCACATGTAAGAAATTCGTATGATTAAATGTTATTACTTTTCTAATATAGATTTGATACTTATTTTCTATTGAATTTGAAGAACATCAATAATATGCCGATAAATTGAGCATAGTAATATTAATTATATGATCTGAAAAAAAACCGTTCAAGTTAACTTTTAAATTAAAATATTAAAATCAAATATGATTTTTTTAAGTTTGTTCAAGATTCAAATTATTAAAAATAAATTGATTTTTTCAAGTTTGTTTAAAATTTAAATGTAAATTTTGTTTGAGTTTCATTAGATATTTTATTTAGGATAATATAAATTATTTTCTATGTAAGATTTTCCATTTTTTTAGTCTTCAAAAGTTAGCAATTTAAAATAATAATGGAAAGAAGAAATTTGAATTCTGAACTGAACTGGGCAAGCAAAGAGATT